TTTGGCCAAGGAGAGTGGTGCGACATCTGCAGAAGAGGCCAAGAAGTATCACAGCATTTATCTATCTGCTGTTGGCTCTCTGATGTATCTTGCCACCCAAACACGTCCAGACATTGCCTACACTGTTGGAGTGCTTGCACGGTTCAATTCCAATCCTGGTGAAGCTCACTGGAAAGCGGTCAAGCATCTGTTCCGTTATATCAGAGGGACACTTGATTACCGCATCACCTACTCGAAATCATCATCCTCACCTCATCCTTTTATCACCTACTCCGACGCTGATCATGGTGGCTGTCCAGACACTGGGAAAAGCACGGGTGGTTACATGGTGATGATGAACAGCGGTCCAGTGAGCTGGAAGAGGAAGCTGCAATCCACGGTCTCCCTTTCCACCACCGAAGCTGAATACATTGCTGGTGTGGAGGCAGGCAAGGAGATCAAGTGGGTGCGCAGTTTGCTTGGTGAACTGGGCTATGGAGTGTCAGGGCCTTCTCCTCTCCGCATGGACAATCAGTCCGCAATTCGAGTGTCTAAGAACCCTGAGCATCATGGTCGCATGAAACATCTTGACCTTGCTCATTACTGGCTTCGAGACGAAGTTGCCAAGGGTTCTATTGGCATTGAATATGTGTCGACTCAGGATCAGCTGGCGGACATCCTTACAAAAGCTCTTCCTCGTCCTGCTGTGGACAAGTTGCGCAATCTTGTTGGATTGCGGGGGAGCTAGGCGAGACTGGTCTCGTCCCGGGGGAGTGTTGGAGTGTGTGAATGGACTGTGACATTCTCGCATCTTTGATCTGATCTGATCCTCTGTGATCCGTGATCATTGATCTCTCTGATCCTATCTGATCTCTCTGATCCTATCCGATCCTCTTATCTGATCGGGATCCTATTGTCCTGATAACAATCTTATTGTCTTGACATCCATCTTATTGTCTCTATTGTCTCTATTGTCTTGATAGCCATCTTATTGTGTCTATTGTTCTTATTGTTCTTATTGTTCTAGCTACTCTATTGTCCTCATAGGTATATAAGTAGAGTAGCATTGCCCTGGATCTTCAGTTCTTACTGTTGACTCCAGGCAAGTAGTTTCATCTCATGCAATCTAACAGAGTTCTTACTGTTGACTCCAGACCTCTGTGCTTGCCTGTTTAACAGTGGCGCAATCACTTAGAGGTCCCCGGTTCGATTCCGGGTTCAGCCATTTTCCAACATGGTAGCAGCAACTCACAGGTTATAAGTCAAAGAGTGAAACAGTCTCTTTGCAGCCTGAGAGTGCCTAGGAAAATGGTGCCCCCCTTTGTGAGTTACATAAGCCAATAGTGCTTAGTAACCAGGGGAGTGTTGCAGTATGGATTTGTTCCTTGCACACTATCGGCAGAATAGCTCAGTTGGAAAGAGCACTAGTGGCGCAATCACTTAGAGGTCCCCGGTTCGATTCCGGGTTCAGCCATTTTCCAACACTTCATCGTCCTGTAGCGCTTTGATTTTACGTCCAAAGTGATTCTCAGCATAAGCCTTGAACACCTGGAATGCCTTGAATGTCCCATTCTTGCGCTTCATGTGCATGACTGCTTTGAAGCTGGTATGATCATCAATGAAGATAACACGATATCTGTAACCCTCTCAGGTGAAGACTTTGTATTCCTTCAGATCGGAGTGGATCAAATCAAGGGGCGCACTGGAGCGATGTCCGGTAGAAGGAAAAGGAGCCGCATTCAGCTTGCCTGCAAGGCATGGCTCACAGATTGGATCTAGCTTCTGGTTTGAAGTGATTTTCGCACCAGTAACCAAATTCTTGTTTAAGATCTTTTGGGTGTCGGAATGATGACCCAGCCGACGATGCAGCAGTTCTAGATCAAGAGGCAAGGCTCCAACTGCAGGCAAAGCTGAACCAGAAGCAACCTCTCTCACAAATGCCTGGTTCCTCTCATCAATGTCCGCTTCAAAGAGAAGCTCTCCATCTCGTTGAAATGAGATCATAGATCCCTGCATGAGAATAGAGTAGCCATGAATGCGAGACAGATAGGTAGTAGAGATGAGGTTATGAGATAACCCAGGAACATAAAGGACATGTGTGAGAATAATGGCTCGTTTGTTGCCACCTGGGAGCGATGGCTGCAACACTATCTCTCCCATCAGCTCAGAGTAAAGAATGACTCCGTTTGCAACTTGGATAGGAACTCTGTGCGGTTGGGTGTTAAACAAGCGCTTCTTTTCAGAAGTCATGTGTGAAGTGCACCCAGAATCTGAGTTCCATCTCCAATCAATAGCTGATGGGAAATGGGAGAGATAACAAGCATTTGAGGCAAAATGGGACACTTCTACAACACCCTTGGCAGGCTCACACTCTCTGATAAGCTCAAGAAATTTGGAGCAAGAGAGGAGTGTATGAACACCTTTGCCACACGCCTGACAAACAGTAAGTTGGGGTTGATGCGCAGATGCAGATGCAACAGGCAGGGATGGATGAGAGAAAAGGGATGTGACCGGCATAGCAGGCCTCAGAGTCATTTGTGACGCGAATACACAATGCTTTATAGAACCAAATGCCAAAGAGGTCAAATGGCGCCCTCAGGAGTGTGTGTGTGAAGGAAGAGATATAAGTAAGATAAGTAACTAGCTAATAGTCTAATGAACACCTAGTTGCAAGGCACTTTGGCCCAAACCCCAGAATCAACGGATTGATCACCGTTTGTTTCCTGGTGGATTCAAAGACTACCTCTCAAAGAGGATTTGTCCCAACAGTTGGTGTTCCTATCTACAGAGAACACACACACTATAAGGGCAAAGCAGATGTGCAAAAATGCGCAGATGGAGATGAGAGTCTCAGAATAAGACTTAAGAAACGCTCAAAGGGCGGGGCCCATAACCTGTTAAACAGGCAAGCACAGATGTCTGGAGTCAACAGTAAGAACTCTGTTAGATTGCATGAGATGAAACTACTTGCCTGGAGTCAACAGTAAGAACTGAAGATCCAGGGCAATGCTACTCTACTTATATACCTATGAGGACAATAGAGTAGCTAGAACAATAAGAACAATAAGAACAATAGACACAATAAGATGGCTATCAAGACAATAGAGACAATAGAGACAATAAGATGGATGTCAAGACAATAAGATTGTTATCAGGACAATAAGATCCCGATCAGATAAGGGGATCGGATAAGATCAGAGAGATCGGATGGGATCAGATAAGGAGATCAATGATCACGGATCACAGAGGATCAGATCAGATCAATGATGCGAGAATGTCACAGTCCATTCACACACTCCAACATTCCAATCCTGGTGAAGCTCACTGGAGGGCGGTCAAGCATCTGTTCCGTTATATCAAGAGCACACTTGACTACTGCATCACCTACTCAAAATTATCATCCTCACCTCATCTATTTACTACTTACTCGGACACTGATCATGGTAGCAGCAACTCACAGGTTATAAGTTAAAGAGTGAAACAGTCTCTTTGCAGCCTGAGAGTACCTAGGAAAATGGTGCCCCCCTTTGCGAGTTATATAAGCCAACAGTGCCTAGTAACCGGGGGAGTGTTGAAGTATGGATTTGTTCCTTGCACACTATCAGCAGAATAGCTCAGTTGGAAAGAGCACTAGTGGCACAATCACTTAGAGGTCCCTGGTTCGATTCCGGGTTCAGCCATTTTCCAACTTTCTATTGGAATTGAATATGGATCAGCTGGCTGACATACTTACAAAAGCTCTTCCTTGTCCTACTGTGGACAAGTTGCGCAATCTTGTTGGATTACAGGGTGTTGGAAAATGGCTGAACCCGGAATCGAACCGGGGACCTCTAAGTGATTGCGCCACTAGTGCTCTTTCCAGCTGAGCTATTCTGCCGATAGTGTGCAAGGAACAAATCCGTACTGCAACACTCCCCCGGTTACTAAGCACTATTGGCTTATGTAACTCACAAAGGGGGGCACCATTTTCCTAGGCACTCTCAGGCTGCAAAGAGACTGTTTCACTCTTTGACTTATAACCTGTGAGTTGCTGCTACCATGTTGGAAAATGGCTGAACCCGGAATCGAACCGGGGACCTCTAAGTGATTGCGCCACTAGTGCTCTTTCCAGCTGAGCTATTCTGCCGATAGTGTGCAAGGAACAAATCCGTACTGCAACACAGGGGACCTAGGCAAGACTGGTCTCGTCCTGGGGGAGTGTTGGAGTGTATGAATGGACTGTGACATTCTCGCATCATTAATCTGATCTGATCCTCTGTGATCCGTGACCATTGATCTCCTTATCTGATCCCATCGGATCTCTCTGATCCTATCTGATCCTCTTATCTGATCAGGATCTTATCGTCCTGATAACAATTTTATTGTCCTGACATCTATCTTATTGTCTCTATTGTCTTGATAGTGATCTTATTGTCTCTATTTTTCTTATTATTCTTATTGTTCTAGCTACTCTATTGTCCTCATAGGTATATAAGTAGAGTAGCATTGCCCTGGATCTTCAGTTCTTACTGTTGACTCCAGGCAAGTAGTTTTATCTCATGCAATCTAACAGAGTTCTTACTGTTGACTCTAGACCTCTGTGCTTGCCTGTTTAACAGTAGCAACAAATGATTTTTCAGAACACAACAGAAATTACGCCATTGATTTGCAGGCACTTGGCAACTTGAAGCTGATATCAATGTTATCAGTCTTAACCCAAAAATTGTCTGGCCAAAGTTATTATGGTGTGTACCTGATTGTTTTGCCCTTCTTGTCATGAACACTCACAATGTCCTAATTGTCTGCTGTGCTCAAGATGTCTCCTCATCTTGTAGCCCTTATCCATTGTATCCAATGCACTTTCCACTACAATATCCTGTGACTCTTGGTGACACATTACTAGTCCCTTGCTCCAGTGCTTTGTCCTGCTGAAAATCATTTTTGATGCAAAGAGACCTCACTAGAATACTACAAGATCACATCTCAAACTTGACCTCTGTCTACCTGGTGTTACAGTACAGATTTGTTCCTTGCACACTATCAGCAGAAATAGCTCAGTTGGAAAGAGCACTAGTGGTGCAATCACTTAGAGGTCCCCGGTTCGATTCCAGGTTCAGCTATTTTCCAACACCTGGGTGGCATATGGATAAAGAGTTAAAGTATTCTAATTGTTATTACAGAAGGAGAAAGAAGTAAGTTAAACAATAAGTAAGAAGTCATAAGTGAAAGCACGATAATGGAATTATAAAAGACAAAAAGAAAGCATAGTCACAGGTTCCTGTTTAAATGATTATTTTCTGCATTCTTTGGAATCCACTTCCAGATTAAATACAAAATTCATATATAAAGGCCATAACCCACTTACTGTACAAGTCTCACTCAATCTAAAGAGTACTTCCAGCCTTCCATGACCTCGTACCTCGTCTTATGCACCCTTGTCCTTTGCCTCCCATGGCTGGAGACGGGCCACACCTCCTACATTTGCTTGTTCATCAGTGTCTTACCTCCCACACTTGATCCAAAGACTAACCTGCTTGGTTGAAAGGTGCAACAGTGCACCCTGGCACAGCATTCCACCTACTCGACATCCTCTTTCGTTCAAGAAGAATCCACCCCATGTTTTGTCTGAAATCAAGGAAGAGTAGTCTATGTCCTCCATGACCGGGTTGTGGAGATAATATATTGTCTTGACTCTCTATTGCTGCATATCAAGCTCAAACACTACCACTTTTCCAAACCCCAGCACTGCACTCTGGAGGTTGCTGATATAACCCTCTCACAGCATTTCCTTGCTTCAGTATTCAGCCAGGCAATGTAGTCACAGTGCTTGACTCGTTCTGCATTGCACCTTTTGCTTGAGGTGTTCAAAAATTCCAGTGTCATCTCCACTGTGTGTTTAAAAATTTCTTTTATAATGTTGAAGTGCTCTTAAACAAGTTATAGCATCTCAGATGTCTTGATGAGCAAGCCACTGTGGTGAAAAGTATGCATGACATGGAAGGAGAGCAGTTACAGGAGCCACAGTTGGAAAAGCAAAATCTACCAGCACCGTTTGGACATGTAAATCGGGCTCATATGGAAGTAGATGAGCTTGTTCAGTGATGTCCAGAATCTTGGTGTAGCTAAATGATCAGTCTTTACTGATTGTTGAATGAAAAAAATTTGCACCTTTTCTATGTATGAGTTGAGGGAAAGATATCTTGAAACAAAGGCCTGAGATTTCGATATATGAGTTCTGCAGAGAATGTTTTGATGCACAGGCCTGAGTGCACTGATATTTCTGAGCGGATAGCATATATTATAGTTCCAGAGGCTCCCTGCAAAATTCCAGGGGCATAAAACATGCCCTAGTGAATGAAATGACCATATCTTCCAGGTACTTGCCAGAATTTTGATGTGTGAGTTCAGTGCAGAGTATTTCATAACACAGACCTGAGTGCAACAAGTTTTTTAGGTGAATCATTAGAATATGGCATAAGAGGCTCTATGCAAAACTTCAGAGGAATTGAATATGCCCTGGCTGTTGAAACAAGCACTCTTTCCTGGCACTTGCTGGAATTTTGATGTGTGAATTCAGCACAGAATATTTTGAAACACAGACCTGAGTGCACTGAGTTTTTTAGGCAGATCACATGTAATATGGCTTAAGAGTCTCCATGAAACTTCAGGGGCATTGAACATGCCCTGGCTGTTGAAACCTTCCCAGCACCTGCCGGAATTTTGATTATTCAGTCCAGTCCACATTAAATACTTGCAGAAGCTCAGTCACTAATTTAAGCTCCAGACTCCAGAATCATTGAAGACAGTGAACACATACACTAATGAATCACTTTTTTCTTGTTCTTTTTCTCTGACTTCATCACCTTCCGAAAGCCCTTAATGTCTATTATCACCCCATCTGCATTTCAAGTCATGACAATTCCATTCATCACCACCTCGACCATCTCATTACAATCTTGTGCTATCTTGCCTGTCAAATAGGCAAGCACAGAGGTCTGGAGTCAATAGTAAGAACTCTGTTAGATTACATGAGATGAAACTACTTGCCTGGAGTCAACAGTAAGAACTGAAGATCCAGGGCAATGCTACTCTACTCATATACCTATAAAGACAATAGAGTAGCTAGAACAATAAGAACAATAGACATAATAAGATGGCTATCAACACAATAGAGACAATAGAGACAATAAGATAGATGTCAAAACAATAAGATTGTTATCAGAACAATAAGATCCTGATCAGGTAAGAAGATCAGATAGGATCAGAGAGATCAGATGGGATCAGATAAGGAGATCAATGATCACTGATCACAGAGGATCAGATCAGATCAAAGATATGAGAATGTCACAGTCCATTTACATACTCCAACACTGTGAGGGCCTGATTAAATCCTGACCCCAATTTCTGGGACCGCTATTTTTCTCAATTAATCTTGTAATTAACCTCAGCCCTGTGATTGATCTCGAAGGCCACAATTAATTATGTAGCAACATGTGTATTAATCTTGTGATAATGTTGTGGTAGTACACAGGATTAACCATGTGTACCATGTCTAGATTAAATCACTCAGCCCGATTAAGTCAACAAGGCCATAATCCTGTGTTTAATCCTGCAATGTGATTAGATTACCGAGAGGCACCTCGAGATTATCTGTAGTTATAGTAGTTCATCGGGTTTGATCTTAAGGAGATCAAATGGCTGACCTATAAATAATCTTGTGTCATTGTCAATTGATCTATCAGGTGCATTGTGGGCATTGTTAAGTGGGTGGTGTAGGTGCCCATCCAAATAAGCAGCTACAAAAACCATAGAATATATGTGAAACCAGGGTCGGCTGATATCACTCATACCTGGTCTGCCATGCCTGGAACTGCATGTATCACCCCTGCTATGTATGCTCCCACATTGACTCACCTCAACTCTGCCACATCTGGAATGCAATTCTTTCTTGGAATTTATTGTGGCTTTATTGCAGCTCTATCTACTATACATATTTATTTACCTATCCTATACTTATTGCAACTTTGCAACTTTTACTGCAGTATAGGCAATTTGGCTTAAATCCTTCTGACTGGTGGAGATGCCACATAGTGTACCCCTTCTAATTAAATCTGGGATATAGGTGCTCCACCAACACCACCAATACCATGTCAAATTATCATGTCCCTGGCTAGTGGTAATATGACAGCTGCAGCATTGATAATGGCTTTCTATGCTCTATAAGTATACCTTTGACAATCTGCTCATCTCTGCCCTGTTTAACCCTCTATCTTCACCTCACCAGCCATATTCTAGCACAGTGAACATTTCTGACCTTTTGCCAGCAGTACTTACTGCTGTATTGATACAAGAGAGCAGAAATCTCTATTCAGATCTTTGCACTCTTCTCACTACACCCTCATCTATCTGTGTTTTGACAACCACAGTGTTTGCTCTTAAACCACATGAGAAACAGCTTCCCCAGAATAGCTACTAGAAGGCTATATGAGTTGTTGACTATTCTCTTAAATTCTATCTATTATATCTGTGTTGGGAAGAAAGGGAGGAGCAAATACAAGAGTAGAAGGTTCCAGAGGAAGGATGTCCAGGACAGAAGGCCAGAAGACAGAACTAAAAGGAGGTTAACAGAGGTAGGAGAACTAGATCCAGAACTATAGATATTGAAAACACAATATCACTGAGGGGCAGGATGAGTGTGGCTGTTGAACTGGAATTCTAGAACCAGAGGCGTTAAACAGAGTGTAGATGTCAAGTCCAGGAAGCCAGAAGAGATGGGGATAAGAGAAAGAGCTAAACAGGGAAAACAATGTTAGGGTATATTACAGTGTTTGATAGAAGTATTCTAATTGTTATTATAGAAGGGGTAAGAAGTTAAGACAATAAGTAAGAAGTTATATATAGAAGCATATTGATTGGATCAGGAAAGGCATAGTTACAGGTTCCTGCTAGAACAGATAAATGGGAAAATACTTAGTAATCCTTCATTGATAGACTGGTAGTTTTTGAAGATGTTAACTAGGTGTAGTTGTTAATAGTTTGTATGTCCCCCATTTACTTCAATTACAGTGTTAACCACCTCCAGCATCTGGTCCACAAAGCAATCAATTTCATCAATGGTAATTTGATTCCATACCTCACAAATTGTACTACATAACACCTCATATGATAAGGGTTGGAGCTGGGACTCTTGGATATGCTGCTTGAGAATATGCTACAAAGACTTATCTGGAGATATTGGTGGATGGGGGAAAATATGGACACCATGTTCCTTGAGTCATCTTTATGCAATCTTTGCACAGTATGATGGTGCACTATCTTGCTAGAACATGAAATTTGGTCTGTACTTCCTCATTTTCTCGTAGAAATCCCATCAGGATACTTGAGTACAATAAGTAGCCCTTTGACCCCTTTTGCAATAATTCCTCATACTATAGCACAAATTGGGTTCTGGAGGACAACTGGGATACAGCATTTATCCAATAACTCCTCCCCAACCTGACATGTGACCCAAAATCAGCCCTTCTTGTCATCAAAACAGATATAGGCCTCATCAACACGTGCCCAAGAATACTACTCACTACTAATAACTGGACTTGTCTCAGAAGAATTACTTCATTGGTGCTGCCCAGGCATATGGAAACATCAGCTGTGCCTGTCATGATCACAACATTCCAACTTCAATGGGCCATGATCTCTGGAATAAAGTCCAGATGACTGGTTCCACTGCAAATCTCCTTTACTCTGGAGCCCTCTAGTCTTCAGTGAGCCAGAGAAGACATTCATTGTCCAAATTGTGTAGAAAACCATTACAGACACAACCATCACTACACCATATCTCCACCCACCATCATCCTCTACACATGTAAGATATAGCCAGAAAACTACTAACATTTCCTGGCTCCATCTCACACCATCTTTCACCGCAATGGTCACTTTCTTTTCTTTCATTTTTTGATATTGTTGCTCTGACGATCTTGTTTCTAGGCACAGCTCTTCCCAGTTTTCATCTATATTGCTGTATTACTTTGTTCCACATATAACTTTTTGGCAGAAGTGCATTATGTTGCTCGTCCTCAATTTGTGTTTGGGGCATTCTTTTTACTTATATTCTCACAGTTTT